TTCTCCCTAACAATGGCGTTCCCTGCTTCTTACTGACTAATTTTTGAAAAGGTTCTTCTCTAACAAAACCCATAAAATTTCGATTCCTGGTCGTAGTACTGCCCAAAATCGCTAATTATGCGTGATTTGTCCTCGCTGAGTGGGTCACATTGTTTTGTGAGCGTTTTATAGTCGCATGGCCATTGTCTCTGTGGAACTACCTGTGATCATTCATTCTGCCTATTCTTCCTACCTGTTTATAGCCACCATTGAATTACAAGGATGCTCTCTCAGTCACGGCTCATTTTCACTCTTATGAGGTTCATTAGGTAGGAAATGGTCGCCATTAAACCACCTCCGACGAAGGAGTCAACCATCATTAAATTCCTCCTTTTCTTTGTTAGCCCAGGTTCCGTCGGAGTCGTGAAGTCGCCGCAGTCTCCTTCAAAATCCTACACAATGGACTCCTTGGTTGGGTTGGAACCTTGGTGGGTAGTAGTTAGATAAGGGTCAATTAGGAGTCTTGCACGCTTATCGCTTCAGCCCTGGTGTCCAATGACGCCTATTTGGTCCGTGGTGCGTTTACCTAATCTACTGATTAGAGCAGGATTACTGGCAGGCGAAGACGAAGAACGATCGTTGCGCAATCGAGGGTCATCTAAACGTTGCCAAGACATTTACCCAGGCCACAGTCTGACTTCTGGAGGTGTTATCTGCACTTCAAAGCGTTTATCAAGTGCTAAGTTCCATAAGGTACTTATGGTAAGCACTTCCGATGTGGGGCATCCTGGCATTTGCGTTTTTCTCACTCGTTTGAGGATTATGTGCTTAGCAAAGCAGCAGATGCATCCCCAGACTTGACCTGCTGTTGATGTGACCGGAAACTCTGCTAGGGACAGTAAGAGTAGGAGTATGTACTTGTCGTTGTTAAAACTTCCTTAAGATCCTTGACAAAAAGCGAAGAATGCCCACTTTTCCTCTTCAGAATTTGAGAAGAGACTTGTGTCATGACTAGTGGGAATCTTAGTAAATCTTAATTTAGAATTCACAAATTCCTCTCTTCTTAGTCAGCCATTTGAACATCAAAATGTCCTGATTCGTAGGAACGCCGCTTATCAAAGCCGTCCACGGGGGCATTTCATCAGTTTCCGAAACCGTGGGCGTCCACCGATAACAGGGTATGGCATCGTTGGATGGAGGCGCGTTTGTGGTGGTAAGGGAAGGGGGGGGGTCTTATTTTGGAAAATCCTGCCTGAATTTGCCTTGATTTTCTACTTTTTCATGCTACGTTCACTAGCGTATCCGCTAATGTGCGCAAACATCGGAGGCCCGCTATTGAATTACCCGTACAGCTAATGATTTCTGGATGAGCTCATTTGTCAAATCAGTAGTTACGGCAGATTGATTGGTGTCCATCTCCCCAGCCGATCGCAACGGTCAAGTCCGGATCTTGGGGGATAAACTGAAAAGTTTCGCGGAAATCTGGAAATAGGTGGGTATTGAGTTGGGAAAACCTAGAAGGTGGTTAGGGGGGGTCGTATCGACAACGCAGTTCCATACATCACGATGCTGTCCCCTGAGTAAGCATAATAATAGGTTGTTAGGTTGCCTTTGTAATTTACTGTCTGCTCTTTTGTAAGTTGCTCATCACGCCTTTTCGCCATTCCAACTATTCATCAGTCTCCCGTCTTGGGTTCCCAAATCGAAAAAGTTCCTTGGTTAGGGGTTCGGAGTGCGAGCTGGTCAGCAACCGGGAGTTGTTTGAGAGCAACGGCGCGAAAGGAAAACGCCAAAGTGTCCCTTTGATCCTCCCTTGTCGTGACTATCTCTAGGATAGGACGGGTTTCATTTGGGAGAGGAGTGAGAAAAGTTGTAATCACTGGGATCAAGAGAATTGTGTGGTGCACCCGAGAAGGCAAAAATCAACAATGGAGGAAGGTCCAACCGGGCATGACCATCCCCCTTCCCCCACCCCCATACGAGTTCCCTAATGAAGATGGACATTGACTGGGGTTTTCGATAGAAAGAATGCATGGAGTGGAGTGTTCCCTGCGACCATGAACTTCCGATGTTGCAATTGTTTATGAAGGAAGTGTCGGCTTCTCTTGACGTCATTGATGGTCTCTAAATCGTCATCGCTTGGGATGCGGTATATCTTTGTTGTGTGATCTAATATGAGCTGTTTGACGGGCACCCGATGGATTTACGATCGTCAAGTGTCAAATGGCAGCAGCGTGGTCATCGCGTATAAGCAGAGCGCGCCAGTTACGTTACGTAGTGAGGTCTCTGTGAGATTGTGATCAGCGACCGGCCAGAAGAGATCCCGAGAGCCGCCGATTCGTCAGATAACGTCCCCTTCCCCTCACGATAACTGTCACGGTAGTATTACGCCTCCTGGCTAGAGTACAGCCCCTGATTATGCTAATACAAGGACTACACTGCCGCTTGGATCTTTTCCAGAGGCGGGTTCTTGTGGCCTTTTAGCTAGTTATTCTGGGTATAAGAAAAGCCTGAAGAAGAGTTGTAAGTAATGAGCAGCTCCTAACTAAGATTTCTTGGCTGAGATGTTTGCGCATTTGTCCTTTGTCGGTAAAGGACTAAATAGTGAGTGAAGGTGGTCCGTGGGGGTTCGCCTTCAGCAAATGTTTCCCCAATTAGCGCTCATGGAAAGGATAGGAAAAGGCGCACTCGTGTCGGTTGATTTCAAAGTCCCTGCAATTAGATGGCGATTGTCGGTGCTCAGTTTGACTAGGCATCATTCATAATGAGCCAACGCTTAGCGCGGATCCACCCTGTGCCATATACCCATCAGTCATGATCCAATCCGCGCGAGGGCACATCCCGATCGTTGCCCGTTGAGGGTGATAGTTTTGTTGCTCGTTTACAATGAAATATGGGTGTAATCAGCGCCAATTCCCACTCGACCTAAAAGATTGCACCACTATTGCTGGTTCCCCCCCCCAACCCTCCCCAGCGCTCGCTTTCAGTTGGGATGCGGTTTTTTTCTGGCCCACCCTCACGGTTATTAAGCCATCAAAGCAGTGAGTGCTTACCTCTTCCGGGTAATTAGTCACCGCATGGGGCCAAGTTTGTGCTGAGCGGCAGCATCAAAACGATCGTGGCAGCATGTTTGGCCGGCGGATTATCCGCTTTCGGGACTACTCGTGCTCACTTGAAGGTGCCACGAGCGAGCATATGGTGATCTGAAGATCTATGCCGACACGGATAAGCTGTTGCAAACATGGCCAGAACATCTTGCTCTTCCTGTACCTGAGTGGCTGCTTCCTCTGTCTGCAGCAGAACGATTGATTGGGATCGGGGGAAACCTGTTGTGCAGGGAGATCGGGTTGAATTACAATACCTGCAAGGTTTTTGTTGCGTAATCTGATATCAAGTGCACTTATTGTATACCGCAAAGCATGCTAGAAAGTTGCGCAGTAGGCTTCACTTCCGTCGATGTCACCGCTTCAAATGTGTACCCTGGCCTGACTTTGTTTGTTTCCCTTTATGTCCCCCCTGACTAAGACTCTGCACACGCAGCGAAGGGCGACATTGCGGGTATCCGCAGGCATTGTTATGCAAATGCCTATGAAATTCGAGGTGGTCAAGGTGGAATGAGGACGAGCTTCGACTACGATTCGGATGTCATTGAACCGAGTAGGCTATGTAACCCTCAAAGGCAAAAGGCACGATAATTCAGTCTAAAATAAACTCGGTCTAAAATGGTAGCAGATGTGCTATATAACGGGAAACTGGTGAAAAAGCGAAGTGAAACGGTCAGAACCTGCAAAAAGCCTTTGTTCTACACGGCTCAGAAAGCAATTTCTGGACGAGTTTCCCATTGGCATCGTGCCAATGAAGCTACGGTAGATACGGCTGCACATATGTAATCATATAACCATGCAGACCTAAATGCCCGCTTCATACCAACCCCTTCGTTTCATACTTTACTTTGCAAGTAAGGCGATACGAACCGCAGCATCGCTCGGACATTTATTGGCCGGCGGGCGCGGTGGAGCGTCCTGGCGGATATGTTGCAGCTTGATAGGGCGCTGTCTGCAACCATTGCAACCACGATTACTTTCACTCTGCAAGACAACGGCTTACAAGCGGAATTGCGTGTGTACATAGCGTTGCCTGGAGCGTCGTAGGGTGATTTCCTGTGCTCTTGCCGGGAATTGGTTGCACGTCGAATCCTGCTGATTGGGCCTGCCGACGTCCGAAAAACTCGTCCAAGGCGCCGGCCCCACTGCTGGGGGGGGGTTCGAAGTGTTTCCAAAGTTTTCTTTTTCGCTTCCTTCTCTAATAGGGAGCTACTTATGGGCTATTCGCCTTTAAGGGACCAGCCCCGTTGAAATGAAACTGTACACCACTATTTGTCTGAAGCAGCCACTTCTAGAGCCTATTCATACCATCGTAAAATGTTATGCTCTTCGCATTGCCCATTGCGTAGCATTACGTGTGCACGCAACGGAAGAAGATACGACGGATGAACGTTTGCCTGCCGTTTGTGCAAATAGAAACACTTGGTCAACAAGCCGCTCGCTCGGCTGCCTCCTATATGAAATGAGGCCAGCAGCACAATGGAAGGAGGTAGTGCAATAAAGATGGGAGAATCGGAATTTCAAAAGCCGCAGTCTTGGGTTGCCCGACTTGTAATCGCGAAAATTGAGGGGTCTAGGGTTTTTGGAGGTTGTCTCAGCGGTTTCCCGAGCAATGCACTCAAGGGTAAAGTACACTGCGGTGAGAATCTTTTTAGATTTGTCACGAATGACGCACTCTTTGAATCACTTAAGCTCTGAGAAGTGGGGGGAAAACCGAAAACGTCCACTCGCTGGACATATCGGCTGCTCCAGCTGTTCATTTTCCTTTCTGAAATGAAAGATGGACCAGACAGGGGATTTCAAGAAGATGTAGGCCGCGTCGTATGCAGTTGTGTGCAGTTCAATCGTTTGTCGATTAAGTTGTAACCGGTAGCCCCTTTTACCGGCTACATTTTCCGAAGGCGCACGACCTGCAAAATGGGATGGAAATCGCCCTGCATAGGTACGGTAACGGGTACAATTCCTTTGCACTTTTTCGTGCAGATCAGCCAGAATTTTCGTCCTTCCCTTATCGCTGGCTTTGCGCTAGGCATTCTGGGGGAGGGGGGGGGGGGTTAAGGGTGAAGTGATTGTTAGCAGCATCAAATGGCAGCTTTCAGCCAGTCAATGAAAACCAGTGTGACTTTAAATCAAAGTCGTGTTCATGGCTCAACTAATGAACGATGGGCAGGTTCCCATTCACAGTTTGCGCCATTTTCACCATGTGAAGTGCTTGGCAAGAACGCCAGGAACATCTCTGTTGAGGCTGTCTACACCCCCTCGGGCGAAAGACGCCCACTGCAAGTGCTGCATGGGAACTAGCGGGTTCACTCGTAAGTGTTGCCACGCTGCTTATACAGTGCCTGGGAGGAGAAGAACTTAAGTATTTTCCATAGCATTTTTGGCATAGTTCAACGACGAGGGGGCATTTTTACTCTCGCTTCTTCCCATCGGGTGACTTGACAACCGGAACTAGTTTAGCAGCGAAAGTGCAAATGCCCCCCCCCACGTAGCCGAACTGCTCCCATTTTTCTCTTATGATAAGTCCCTTCCAAGCCCATATTCGAACCCCATTGCCCATGACTTCCTACCTTGGAGTGTGCCTTTGAGTAAAACACTTTTGTTTCAGGTTCCATCGTAGTATGCGAAGGTGGCACAGCCGAATTGGTCTGTCCTCGTGGAATGGTCATCTCGATAGCCCTGGCCAACTATGGCCGATACTCGGCTCGTGTTTGCTACGATAACGAGGAACTGGACGATGTGGTGCCGATGACTCAGTGCCATAACCCAAGGACCATGCCAACCCTCAGAAAAAGGTGAGTGTTTTCCCTTTCACTCTCGAAATTCTCCTTTTCCTGGGATCGATTTTCATCGGTGTTGTAAGCACAAGGTGTCAGGAGGCCGTGAATATTTCATTGGTGAGCCATCACAAAGCGGCTCATTCGCTTTGCTTGCAGCACACCGATTGTGCATAATGAAGCTGAAGAGCGCATTTGGAGAGCACCCTATTGAAGGGGGTAACTTTATGTTGTAGGCGCCGCAAAAGGTCCTTTTATGGCCGTGGACGCACTTAGATATAAGCCGCCGTTTATGGCCATATAATGGTCGGCAACGAAGCGATGATTCGACGGAAAACTATTTCAGTCGTATTGCCAGCGATTAGTCGTCTCCTGCGTTATCAATTAGTCACGGACTTCAATGGGGGGTGGGGGTCAAGCTTCATTCGAGCTGGTGGAAGAGATCGTAGTATTTGGGGGGAGGGTAGGGGAGGGGCTGGGTTTTGCTCTCCCTGACAGTTTTCTATTTCGTCTCCCTAGCATTAGTCTCCGGTCCACTTTTTGCGACTTTTCATGATGCTGTGACGGGTTTTCCCATCAACTGGCCTATCAACCTGGGCCTGACGCAGGTACCGGCACCATTTTTGCAGTTTTTCCGAGACACAGGGTTGCCTTGGCGGGGACCGAACTCGTGGCTCAGGTGGAGTTATGAGCCTACACTTCTAACCACTCGGCTATCCCTGCCTTTTGCTTTCTCTGATGTGCAGTGTAGAGCGATGACTTTATAGCGGCCAAATGGCGGGAACCTTGAGATCGCTGGGATTAGGGATTTGCTCCGATGGCGATGTCCCACCAATATTCTCCCTCCACCCGACCACTAAAGGGATTGCCTCACATCCACATAGTAATGTGGTAGGTAGTGCTTTGGTCGTCTCCAAGGTAGCATTTATGGGCAGAGTGCTCTTTTCCTGCCAAATGGCTTTATTTCTGCGGTGAATAGTGTTCACCTGATACGGCGCCAGTTGTATACGATTCACTTCATCAAGTGGGTTTTCCACATGGCCGACTGCGGAGTTTTCTGGTCAAGGCAACGCGCTTTTTTGGCTCACCACTCTATTATGGTCAACTGGTCGCAAAAGGATTTGGTTTGCGTGGTTTTCGGTTGCCCAGAGAGAGAAAAACGAATGAGAACGTCGTCTTATGTAAATGACGCCGCTCTGGGCTAATCTATTCGAAGGAGCCTCTTTTCGCGCATCAAACCCCTCAACATCAAAGGTATCGTTGAGTATGCAGATGGTAGCAGCCGCTGGTTGCTCTTATCCCTTGAGTTGTGGGCGCTCACCCCAATGGTCCCAAGAGATCTCTCACCTGGGTCATAAGTGAAAAGCCGCTGGTAGCACTAAGGCGGCTACAATTTCCGATTTCCTTTTCTTGAATGTCATTATTTGGGCGTGAGCAGTTGCTAGCTGCAGCGGCTATGGCATACGGTAGTCGTGGATAAAAATATCGGCGATGGATGGATTCAATCTAATTCCGGGGTTGATTTGAAGGTTACACAAGGTCACGCACAATGTGCCTATGAGTGCAAGAAGTTATTGGTTTGGTCGCAAACATGACATTTGATGTGCCGGGGAATTTGTTTTATGGCAGCGGAGCAGACTGGGTGATTATGTCGCGCTACTGGGCGATCTTTGGATAATTGTTCTGAACAAGTGTTTTTCAGTCACTTTCTTGTTTTGGGAAATAGGTGTCTGCAGAATGGCAACAGAACATAGCAGAAATAAATACATTTAAATTTTGGGCGCTGCCGGGCAAAAAAAAGGCCTTTGCTCTTTTGCTAAATTCTTTTGTTGGTTCAGGTCAACTAACTCACTTAGGTCAGAAGCTGCGAAGTTGTACGAGTGTGCCACTTTGGTCACAGGAATCCACAGGCTGCCACAAGGTAGCCTGGTAATGCTTCGCTAAGTACCAGTCGATGCCCACCCCAAGCCGAACTGCGCACAATTTTAATCAAAACGAGTTGGGATTGTCGACATTTTGGGAAACACTGAACGTGCTTGGTGAAAGTTCAGCTTTTTTGATAGCGCAAAAAGCAGGGTCTATCTAAGCTCTCCTGTAGTTAGACACCTGGTAGGAGGGGTTTATTTGAGGAATTAAAACTGTCTGGCAATTTTTGGCACGCAAGTAATTCTTCCTTCATGTCCAAAAGCTCCAAAGCTCAAAGCCAAACTCATCGCCATTTCAAAAACTGCTGACTAACGCCAAGTGCTTTATTTCATCATCGACCTTTTCACGTTGAAACCGATCAAATATTTACTTTAATACCTCATTTTACTGCTTCATTGTTTGAAGAAGATCATATGTTGTCTCTTCAACGGCTTCGTAAAAAAAATTGGTGCCATGCTTTCTATCCAGTCTTAGAGGAGAGAGATTTTGGGAAGAGGGGAGGGGCTTTTAGAGAAATGAATTGGAATTCTTGGTCGACCACATCCTTGAAAGGTTGAAGATTGGGTTCTGGGTGACTAATTTCTTTAGTAATATTCCACCTTCTAAAGGGGAAAGGGCGCTATTCGGCGACGGGGGGGGGGGCATTTTGCACTTTCGCTGCTTCACTAGTTCCGGTTTACAAGTCTCACTCTGGTGAAACCTGTGAACTCTTGTGAAGCTGGAGCAAGCTCGTCGAGCCGCCATGATAAAACCTGTGAGCTCACGAAACTCGTTCTCTAGATAGGTCGATACGTCCATGGAAAGCAGCAAAAGTGCAAAATGCCCCCCGTCGCCGAGCTGCTCCGGAGAAAGTACTCGGTTGCTCTCATGGATGTACGGTACGCTACATTTTGACCCTCCGACAGATTGCACCTTCATAGTTCATTCGAACAAAATTCATTCTCGGAGGCTCTCCTTACTCCCTTCTGGATTCCAATCTACTATGAGCCTAGTTCGAGTCAAGTTCGAGTCAGTCGACCCAGAGGCGAAAAGTTTTGTTGGGTGAAAGCCAGTGGCCAAATTAGCATTGCCTGAATGCACTCGAAGCGACGTCTCAGCCTGCTTCGCTAGAAATTCTCCTTGAGCCTTGGGCTAGTTTTTGTTAAGTATTCCGCCCTTCTATTCAAGCGGTGTGACTGAAGAAAAAGGGAAGAGAAACTTGGCTCTGTGGCCTTTTGTTATGCGAGTTGCCAGTGCATTGACCTGATTATGAGTCTATTCAGTGGAGACAATGGCCACGAGTTGGGCTCAGCGACAATTTGTAGTCGGCGACCGTCTTTCGTCGTCGTTGACTGCGAGGAGAAGTGGGGTTCGCCGTCTTTGGTGTGACATCCGAGACGATCCACGGGTGGCAATTCTGGCAAAGGGAATGTTGTCATTGCCGACAATTCTTTCTTTACAGCTTCGACCATACAATTACAGACAATCTCCAGACCTAGTACTTTGCTGGAGAATCGCCTTTGTGAATTGATTGAGGTGTAATGAATGGGTAATTCAAGGTGTCCATGTTTTCCGCGAAATCCGCTCTTTTTTGGGGTCTGCTAAGTTCCCACTGGTCGATGTTTGAGGGCTCTTTTCATTGCGATGGGGAAAAACTGTCGAGGGTTTTGATGATGCAGCTGATGGGGGCAGATGGTGTCTTTTTAGTGGGTGAATGTGAGTTCTTTGTTTGAACAGCTCTCATGGAACCATTGATTCATGGCTTGCGAAGAAATGACAAGATGAATTCCTATGCTTTGCTTTTGGGACCTTATGTAACAGGAGAACTCCTCAAGTGGGCAGACTCTTCCAGAATTTGCAAATCTGCGGCCATTAGTGTATTTCTACGGTAGTACAGTGATGATGGTGACCTTAGCTGGTTACAGATGGCCACCTGGTTTTGGCCGGTCATTTGTCCAAACCTTCTGTTCATCGTTCTGTATACACATGACTGCTCGCACAACCTGCAATCATTGGACGTTTTCTGGCTGCATGGCTTTTTAGTGGCCATCCTCCCCCTCTAGCCGTCGTTGTTAATTGCTTCGCGCATTAGCTCAGTCAACTCACTGAGCAATTACGACAAACCCCCTCTCTCGGCTGCTCAGAACGGAACACCCGACGTTCCTAATGCGGTTAAGTGAAGATGCTTCCGGGGAATCATAATGCACATCAGGGCTGTGCATGGGAAATTCGATTCATTTGGCATGTTCGCTGGGGCATCTTGGCCTTTACCGTATAGCCAAGAAACTGTTAAAGGGGGGGGGGGTGATGTGGTCAAAACGAAGAAGGTACTAGGCAAGAGCAGAAGGACATGGGCACCTCAGAATTAATCACCTGCTATACCCCAGTCAATTCACAAAGGCGACTCTTGTGCGAAGTACTGGGTAAGGAGACGGTCTGTAATTTTATGGTCCGAGCTGTAAAGAAAGAATTGCCTTGGACTCGAACCCAGTCTAATGCTTCCCTGCGGTCGTACTTATCCATCACACCCTCGAAATATCACAAGCTTTTCCTCAGATTTTCGATGATACTTCAAGTTTACTTCAGCTTATCAGCCCTCTGATAATGTGCTGCCGCAGTTTACTTCACCTTATCAGCCCTCTGATAATGTGCTGCCGCAGTTTAGTCACATTGGCAGCGAGCCCTGGTCTTGAAAGCTGGCTGTTTTCGAGCTGTTTTGTTTCGTTAACTACTGCTTTTCACCCGCAGTTAGCGAGGCGAATGATATCGCAAGGGCGCTGGTCTAGCAATATCGGCTGCAGAAAGCTTTCGGAAGCCAAAGAATCCTCTAGGCCAAATGGAGTGTGGACGAGTTCATTTGAACAATACAAAAAGAAATTTGATCAGCTCAGAAAACCTAAGATGTTATTCGCCCTGGATTTTGTTCTAATATTAGTCATTGTAATTGCTGTATCACCCGTGCTCCCATTGATCATCGAGTTCCTTGAGCGGGCGCCAGTAACGTCTCAGTTCGACAATGTAAGAGTTGCCCAATGGGTTCTGTCTGCTCGAGGGACACGAAGAACTCCAGCCATTCGTTCATAGCCTTCACGAAGAAGTCTGACCATCACGGTCGTCCAGATTCCAGTCGGTAATCGCTCTGGTTCAGCGGTTGTCTTCAAAACGCACGACATGCCTGGTCCACCTGATCTTCGAAACGTTGGCAAATGCGGCTGTGTCCCTGATCTTCGATCGTCGATGGGGTGTGAGTCTCTGGATTTCCTCTCTCAAGGTGTGGAAGATGGGAACATAAGCGTGGATTTGTCCCCGAGGAAACCGTTGGCAATTGAGGGAATCATTAGAGAGGAACGGTTTCTCAGCTCCAGGTTCTGGAGAGTTGAGGTTCGGAGCTCTCCGGTCAGATCGCTTCGCTGGATGGCTGACTCGACTAAGTCTCAACCTCTCCGTCTTGTGCCAGCCAGTCAGGCGATCCTGTAAGGCTGTAAAATCTGCCACGCGATCTTCTGGAACGCTCTGGTCTTGGGAGCTTCCGCGCATTCTTGGTCGTCGTGAAGATCTTTTCCTGCCATGTCTTGAACGTAGGGCATGGAGCCGCGAATCGTTTCCTTCGTGGACGGCTGCTTCCGATCTCGCTGATTTCATAAAACGGAATTCAAGAGCATCGATGCTTTCCATATGAAATTTGCAATTCATAGACGCTTCCCGCTTCTCCGTGTGAACTAGGGGGTTCAAGATATCAATCTCTCGTGCAAGCAGATTCTTTTTTGCCAATTCATGGCTACAGTGGGTTCATTCCACTGGAAATTTCTCCAAAGAACTAGCCAACCAAATTAGCAGGAAATGGGCGTACTTTCTATAAAAGGCGCCTATGAGATTGGAAGTGCATTCCACAGTTTACTCCGATGTTTCCAACTAGATGCATGTCTAGTAATGAGCCAATTGTATTCTGTAGTTGAAGGTCGTGTCGTATTGTTCTTACGCGGATAAATCGCTGTCAATTATACCAGACAATACGGTAGCAGTGAACTGGCGCATAAACAAACCCCCAATAGGTTCTCATTGGTTTTTTAATGGTGTGGTGGAGCGGCTATTATTGAGTCTCATGGCCGAAAAGCTCAAGTAGCTTGCCCTTTCCTCTGAGAGCTACTGTAGGCGGCGAAGCGAGTAGTGCCCCGCCTGGGCTTTTACCCGTGACGCCGCCTTGCTTGGCTTGGCTCCGTCGACAAACATATCGAAATTAGCCACCAGGTGGTGAAAGCTTGAAACCGGGACCAATCTCTCTCTGCGGGACAATGCGCACTGGGCTGTGAATGAGATTGTTGTAGGGTCACACATCGTGTTGTACACATCAAGCACAGAGCACGTAGCAGTTTGGGGGTCCCGAGCAGGGGAGTCGCATTTCGTCGCTTGAGGTGGGGAGGGGGTCATATTGGCTTTCGAGAGAAATGTTCTCGGTTGTTGACTTTTCTTGGATTTTTCCTGTTTCACGTGGTGCTATCAACCCCACTCTTGATGGCAGTTTTTTCAGGGAAAAGTGGAAAGCTTTTCGGAAAACTGGAAGAAGAGGTTGGAATATTGGGAAACCCACGAAGATGGTAGGTGGGGTGGTGATGGTTAGGGGGTGCCATCAGAGTAGGAGACCTCGAAGGGGAGTCGCATCACGCGGAATCCTTTCTCAGCGGCAGGACGTGCCCCAACCGAACATGATTGTGTGAGCTCTGGACAGAGCCTGATCATGAGTCCATTTTGAGTGGAGATTTTGAGCCCCAAAGAATTTTCCATCCCGGGCCTGGTCCTTCGGAGCTCCCCAACAAGTATTCCTCTAACTTCCTTCAAATTTTCTAAAAACTATACTCAAAACTTAAGGACTACTACTTCTCCCGAAGTTCCCGACTGGAATTGATGTAGTACAAGTGAATGTCGTACTTTGATCGGGAATAAATCTGTCGATTTTTTTGTAGAACGGATATTTACCCCAACGAAAGAGAAATCTTCCGTTGGGGTAAAGCTCTTTCATGACCTCGGCAAGTGGAGCGGTGGGAGGTTTTAGTTTACTCTCTTAGTACATTTCATGGAACATTCCAGCTAGACCGGCTCCTTTCCAGTAAATCTCAAATCGCGGTCCGATAAACCAACATCGTTTTTTATGAAGCGCTCTGGTTTTGGGTCGGCGCAATAGGAGGCCTGGTGGCCGTGTGCTTAGTGAGGCGTGTGCCACTTTCACTCATTCTTTTGACGGCGGTGCTTGAAAGGCAAGCGAAGGATTTACGCGCTGCCCCTCGTCGCCTGCCTCGCTGACCCCATCACTCAACCTACGCCGACGGCAGGCAGTTCAAGCCGAGACTCCGAACGAGGAGCGGAGTGCTCAGAAGGGCATGCATTAGACAATAAATCGTAAATACCGACGAAAGCCAGTCGGGATTCTACTCGAGTCCAGAAGATTCCGTTGGAATTCATTATGGGCCCCGGCCTATTCAGCTAGGGGTCAAAAATAAGACGGAGAGAAAAAGAATAAATGCGAGGTTCCTTCAAGGATGTAGTTTCTTCAGATGCGAAGGTTTGCGTCGATGCGAGTTCATGGTCGACGGTTTTATGTTCGATGATCCGTGTCCAGAAACGAGTAAATACCTCGAAGCGACATTCCACTGCACCCAAGGTGGTTACTGCCTGCCTGAATGCGCTTTATAGAACTGTAAAGTAAAAAGCTCGTGCTGTGATGTGCAGTGGTTTTAATGAAGTGTGGTGTAGCGTTTGAATCAAGTGCAGGGACCTCATCTTACGGAACCCAGTCTCCTATCAATGTTGCTTTTGTTACTTACTATTGTTGCCTCTTATTGTTGTGTTGTGTTCTAGTTGTGATGGACGTCGTGAATGTAATTTCGTGGTCAGTAACGATTTCTTCGTCCATGATCCATGCCCAGGAGTAAAGAAATACCTTGAAGTCACGTATTTGTGTGTTGTGGAAGGTAAGGACGTGTTGTATAGCATGCTGAGGGCTCAGTTCGGCTACGGGGCGCGGGGGCATTTTGCACTTTTGCTGCTTCTTGTGGAGCCATCCAGAGAGCTGTTTCATGAGCTTACAAGAGTTGACAGGTTTTACCGTGATGGCTCGACGAGCTTGCTCCAGCTTCACAAGAGTTCACAGGTTTCACCAGAGTGAGACTTGTAAAGGAAAACTAGTGAAGCAACGAAAGTGCAAAATCCCCCCCCCCGTCGCGCTTAGCCCATGCTGAGGTCATTCGAAGGAGAACGTTCTGAAAAATCCTGTAACGTTCTGAAAAATCCTGTTACAGTGACTACCACTACAACTACTACCACAACGACCACGACGACCACAACAACTTCTACCACCACAGAAGTGGAAGATGACGTCAAGAAAGAGTAAGCATCCTCTTCAACTTACAGTTAGCCGGCTTATCTGCGTAGGAAAAAGTTAGTACGTTTTTTCAGTATGAGTGTGAAACCTGCACCGTCGACATGTGCAGTCACTTCAAGAAGGGGAATTGAATGGCCAGCGACCATCGCTGGAACGACGGTGAACAGGCCGTGTCCGGAAGGGACTAGAGGTGAGTCGGTCCTCTCATTTATATCAAGCACTAGTTGAGGCGCTTATAGCCTTGGAGGGTGCCACACTTGTAAGCGCTTGTCAGTACATCAAATCCTGCACATTGTAGACATACCTGGCAAGCTTGCTAACACCCATAAGCCTTCTTATTACCTGTCAAACACCCTATAATGTGGTGTCTTAGTTGTCAGATGGCTGGTCAATAGTTGGAAGTGAATGGGAAATGGCCTTTGAATGACGCCTGTACCGTTTCCTCAAGCTTTACAGGATTTCACAGGGTACTTGACAGGAATTTACAGGACTTGCAGGATGAGCCACGACTGTGAAAAGACAAAGAAATGAGAGCTACGCACATTGACAGGCGAGCGTTCATAGTGTGGCATCCCCCCCACAGGTTATTAGCGCATCAAATAAATTATTCGAAGCATAAATTGACAAATTTTTTTCTCTTTCATCTAGATTTCAGCTAAATATTTGAGAGAACAAAGAGTAATCTACGACTCAGACCCTTTTATTTTCACCTCTTAAGGTACTTCTTCTTGGCGGTGCTCTGCCGAAGGACTGTGGTCAGAACCTGGTCCAAATACTATGGAATGTCGCAGCGACTGGACTATCCAAAGGCACGATGCTCTTGAAGAGACCATCAAAGATCAGGATGCAAGTGGGATTCCCGAGGTGAGCGCTAGTTGAAGCCGTTTGAGGTTCATGTTGTAACTTAGGTTATCTCCACCTACATCTCATTGTTTCAGCTTCTTCGAGCAATGACTTCTGACACTCGAAGACCCATGGTAGCCGGAGATCTGCCAAAACTGTTAAATATTCTTGACATCGTTCAAGATGTGGTCAGCCGAGAGGTGTGGGCGAAAAGCAGTCAGAAGCTGGTGAATCAGGTATGTGAACCCTCGAGCTTTTTTCTTTTGTAGTGAACTGGTATTTCCTGCAGCTGGGGAAATATGGGAAATACGACTCCCCACCCAAATTC